AACCGTGCAAATCGCGTCCTCATACTCGATCTTCGCTCTTCCTTACTTATGTTTTATACATATGTATATACTTAAAGTATATTCACAAATTAAAAAGGGAAAAACTAAATGTAGAAATGGTTATTGTAAGCATTCAATCAAAGGAATACAAGTAACAAAACAAATAAACAATTCAATAACGACTTATCCAAATAATAGTTCAAATTCTATAGGGATCCTTATATTGACCCACATACGAGTATAAAACATCATTGAACTTAAAAAGACGAACATTAATGGTCCTTTCACATCAAAACACATATGACTCATTACTCCTATGATAATTTTCAACAGTTACAGTTTGAGGACCCTAGGTTTTCCTAGATGAAGCAGTTCAGCACCAAGACAAACAATAACTGTAGATGAAATTTCAGCTTTAACTGATCGTTTGTCCTACCTCTGGATACTGACGAGTTACGAAATTTTCTTACCAGGTTGCGAATGTCTTTTATGTGTACACATAGTGATTCTCTTCTTGTTTCTTAAGTGTGTGCATATTGTTTTCGTTGCACGTTGTTTCGTCGTTTTATGAAACTTTAGGAACATTAATGGAGAAGTGAAGAGTGTTCATGTAAACACACCGCTAAGGAATATTTTTGAACTTGTTAAATTTATTATATGCGCAGAAGTGAAATCTTAATTAAAATTTATTAAATTGTCGGCAATACACCAGATTTATATAGTTCTAACGAAATTACAAATAAAATGATCAAATTATCAGAAATGCTGAGATTTCAAATGAAAGCAATCGGGCAAAATATTTTAAAGTTTTTCGCTTAGAAATAATATAATGGAATCCATTTTTATAAACAGATAATGACAATTTGCCAAAAGTTAGGGTTGCGAATGGGAAAAACAGCGGTTTTTTCCATTTTACTCAGGTTAGGTTTATGTTACAAAATACAGTAAATAATATAATTTTTGAGAATAAGGAAGACTGAACTCATAACTATAACATATACCAAATATTGTTAAAATAACTTCTACACTCTAATGGCCGATTCACATATAACGGTGGCTTTGTTTCGATTGAGAATTTTGCTTTGGCAGATTTGAAATCTCAGCATTTCCATTTTCCTTACGTTAGGTTTATGTTACTAAATACAGTAAATAATATAATTTTTGAGAATAAGGAAGACTGAACTCATAACTATAACATATACCAAATATTGTTAAAATAACTTCTACACTCTAATGGGCGATTCACATATAACGTTGGCTTTGTTTCGCTTTAGACTTTTGCTTTGGCAGATAAGTTCGATGTACATCTTTATATATATATATAAATCTTCTGTAGGTGTGTTTGTAATTGAACTCCTTTTAAACGGCTGGACCGATTCTGATGAAATTTTTTCTGTGTATTCAAAGGGGTTTGAGAATGGTTTAGATTTACAATTCGATCAACTAAATAATGTTTTAACAATGAATTTGTTTATTTATAAATTTTTGTTGATGTTAGAACGTTTTAAATAGAATTCTGGCAGACTGAGCTGCAGTCGTGTCAGATATTCAAATATATACAAGTATTTGAGTTTCAGTTTCGCCTGGTAGACGGCGCTGAGATTTGATTCTAAGATAGCATAGTATAGTTTAAACTATGAAGACTATAGACACATGAAATCTAAACATTCATACTGCTGTGCTACTCTATACGATACATATCAGAATGAAGATTCGTAAAGGATAGTTCGGCTGAACACATTTGTTACTTTTTGGTACATCCATTACTTTCTTCTTACGGATATTACTTAAAACTATTTATTTTGAAATTTGTTACTGTTTCGAAGTACAATACATATTTTACATAATTCTTCATAAAATTTTCCTAACCAACAAATTTTGTGTTTGTAATTTATAGTTTTCAAAGATACAATTTAAAAATTTTCTTTCCTTTTGAATTCTACTGTACTGGGAATAGTGAATATTCAAAACTAAGAAATGAATAAATACAATAGATAATAAATTTGTTTAGACCTGTAAATTTTCACTTTTAGAAGTTACCTACTTGGTTATTGTGTATTTTTCATGGAATTGTATTTCTACAAAAAATTCGAAGTCTTCGCGGAAGAGCAAGAAATATTGGTCGACGTTGTCATAATACGCAAACGGTCCATAACCACCGTCTGAACAGAACAGTAGAAGAACACTTGACAACTGATGTCAATGTAAGAGAACAAATAGCAAACTCACGTGCAAATGAGAATTCAGAGCAACGCAATTAACGTCTTCGTGCTAATACATTAAGGCAAAGAGAGCCGCGTCAACGACTGGCCGACGTTCACAGATTAAATGAACGACGGCAAAATCATCGAGAACTGGCACGAGTATCGTTTAATCGCCTTGCGTTTGAATATGACCCTGAAATAGACTATTCATCACATACGCTAATCATGTTTTTAGTATGGACAAAGAATGGCAATATTGTCATGCTTTTAAATACAAAGGTGAGTCGGCCGGTTTATATTGCGCATCTGGAAAAATGTCACTGGTAATAGGTAATAGGTTCATTACTTTCAATGCTTAACGCCGATCCAAAATTTTTACAAATTTACTTTATGGGCGACGAGTAAAAACAAGCTAATACACCCAGTGTATATAACTATATAGAGCAGATGGAGGAGCGAGAAATCGTTGAAATTTTGGAAACGTTCTTTGAAAACAATAACCGATTAGTACAATTATTTAAGTCTCTTTCAAACAGACTGCAAAAGGAGACGTTGGAATTTAAATACATTAAATGTATTTAACCAAGTAATCTAAGTACAGGTGAAGTACTGATTAAGAAAGTTAGTGCAATGAACTGCTATGCATACCGGTTGATGATTAGTGCTAATGAAGATAATAACATTCTCCGATGCCGACAGCTATTTCATCAATATGTTGTCGATAAGTATGCGAAAATTGAAAGTAAGTTACGATGCATAAAGTTTAATCAAGCAAAACTTCGTTCAGGATAGAAATACAACGTCTGTCGGGTCCGCTCGTTTAATCATATAAAAGTAAAAAGAAAGAGAGTAGAAAACAATAAAAAGAAAGACATGTGGCAAGGATATTTTATAATAGACAAAGCTGATATTATATAACTATGTATGTTCTCGTATGTATCATATTTGGAGGATGTATCTGTTGTGGAGTTGTATTAGACACGTATTAATCATTAATGTAATGATCACCTAAAAAAGCAAAACGTTGCAAAAAATAATAAAAAAAAATCAATTGTTCATTTGATTCTATATTCCTCAATAATATTAACATTTATAGAAATTAATAATATTAGTGTCTGAAATTAGAGATTATTTTAACAACGTCCTATAATCGTATGGAATAACTACTTGCAAATTAATTAAGACTTGATCAATATTAAGTTAAAAAATCAAATCTTAATTACGATACTAATTCCATTTATTCGCAGCAAGTCGATGACCGCTGTTTTTTACAAAAATTGATAAAATTATAAAGATGTTCAGAATGCCAGTTTTGAGGCTAGAAATATAAATGACTTCCTGGAAATTTGGTCAAGTAGAAAGCAGAATTAAAGACATAAAATACCAGCTAAAATGTAAGATATCTCCAGAAGATTTGAATAGTTGCAATAGAATAAATAGAATAAAAGAATTCAAGAGAATAAAAATTACAAATTTAAGTAAAATACACAACTTAAAATCACAATCATGTGAAGACTGTACATCGGCACCATATAATATACGATTTCACGGACACTATAATACCTGAAAGCGTGGAACAAGTATTGGGTTTATCCAGGAAATTTGGAATCGGTCTCAAAAACGAGAGGTACCATTAAAATTATCAAAGATGTACCATAGAATATGGGATTATGAAGGTATTAATAAATGAAATGGTGACGTATAAAGAGCTTGCGAATCAATATCAGGGCTGGAGTAAGCAACGTTATTGCTATTGCCAATTACTACAAGAGATATTAGAAGACATCAGATAACACAGAAAGAAGCTTAATGAACGATATTAAGCCAACAAAAACATAACATCTTAAAATAACACGGAGACATAATACTTGTATTGTAGTAAGCCGAGCTGATAAAGGTGGTAGCTCAGTATCAATGAGGAAAGAAGAATAGGTAAATGTATTATATTAAGAAAAATGTTAAGAGATATATATAAAGCAATTACGTTGGATCCGACAGGAAAAATCCAGCAAAGACCAAATGCACTAGTGGATGAATTACTAAAAACTAGAGTGGTTGATAAGTTGAAGATAAAACATTTGAAAACTAGAAATACATAATCACCAAAAATCTATGGACTTAGAAAAGTACATAAGAGTGGGTGTTAACTCAGGCTAGTAGTTAGTTGTGTTAAATTTCCAGGATATAAGATTAAAAAACTGTTATACGAGTTATTAGAGCGTGTTTTTAACACATATGTAGAAAACATATACAATTCTATTAGTCTATTGTGGAGTTGTGTTAGACACGTATCAATCTTTCTCGTACCTATTGTAGTAGAGGAAAAAAATAAAACATTGCGAAATGTTGCGTAAAACAATAAATAAAATACCAACTGATTCATTTGATGCTGTATTTCTCTAAAGTGATAAAGATCCCAAGAACGGCTTAGGTTTTCTTATTTCGGATTATTTAAAAAATTTACCCTGGTTCACTGGTTGGCTAAAAAGCTCATATCGTCTTAAATAAAAACAAATTATTAAGAAAAATATATCTTATTATTTATCATAGTTTGCTCCGAAGGTCTATTATTTATGTATGTATAAATAAATTAGTTGCTGTTCGCTAGTCTCGCTATTTACCGTAGTCTCGGAATGTTTAAAAAGTAAGAAAATTTGGAAGATAATGATAAAAAATTTTTATTTCAGTTGACAAAAAAAAAAAAACAATAATAATATGTTGGAGGCCGGATTCAATAAGCAGGCAGGATTTTATAAGCTTTTGTAAGAATGTCAATATTACCCGTTTTGCCTTGTATTGTTTTGATTTTATTATTCACAAATCAATTTTTCAAAAATTTAAAACCAATGAAAATGTGTGTTTTGAGTGATAACTGAATACGAACAGATTGTAAATTACACAAAATCATCAAATTTTAAACAGAAAATTCATAAGAAAAACAACAAAACAGTTTTTTTTTTGGTTATGAATACAAACCCTTCTTTCGTAAGAGGAGCGTTTTTCACCACAGCTAGCTCGGATGGAGAAATTTTAACAGTAGCATATGAGCAGAGCTGAGCTTTGAATGTAAATTATGCTCAGAAGTTTGCAGTGATATTACAACCACCCTGTATATGCAGAATATCTTAAACTTATATGCAAAGTCGTTTGCGTCTGTAAGCGTACATTTCTTAACATTGAAATTATCATTACTTTTTTCAATTAACAGTATAAATGCTCTATTCTGCTATTTTTCAGTCTCCTGATTTTAATTGTGGCCAATAATTCTCTGGAGTGAAACACGCTCACCGTTTTCAGAACCCTTCTCAAAAGTAGTAAAACACGCTCATCGTATTCAGTTCCCCTGCGAAAAGTGAAATATTTTGATAATGGCCGCACTGTGAACCTTCTCTATAATCCACATTCTCTAGTTAATTGTCGAATGTTTACATTTTGATCATATGTCGATCAACCCAAGAAATTTTATAAATGTAACTGTTATTCCGTAACCGCTATAATTTTATTAAACAACTGAGAACCGTGATGGATATCTGTATCCGACTTATCGTTAGGCGTGTCACCAACTAGAGTAGCTTGAGAACGACTCGCATTGAGATATTACGGCCAAGGATTCCATTTTATCTTTATCGCCGCATCAAATTTAAACAAATGCAAAGCCGTATGATATCGACATTTTTCTCAACTCCTGGAGATTTGTGGACGAAATATAGGGACGATATGTCTAAGGATGTGTTACATAGTGTGCGTTGTCAAACTTTCCTACACTACAAATTACTGCAGAAATTTACAGTGAGACATTGATCATGATAGAAGATACATGTTTATTGGGGGAAAATAAAGTATTGTCGAGTTTGGGCCTGATAGCACCCAATTGCTCTATGCAAGATACATTTAACCATGAGTTGCAAAGAGAAGAACAGTATGATACTGAAATATTGAGTAAAACTGTTTTCTGAAATGTTCGCTGAATTCTTCCAAATTGCGCCGTCGAACGTAAGGTCAGAAAGGGAAAATACAAAAGAGGATGTCGCGTATACCGATGATTCCAATGGATTAGCCATTCGATTTTAAGCGTTTACAATTTCCTGTGCATCTGGATTTTGCAATAACCATCAAAAAATCGCAAAGCCATCACGTTTTTTTTTACCCGCCGCAAAAAATATAGTTCATAAGGAAGCTTTACACTAATTAGGTGTATAACCAGCTCCTATGTACAGCAGTTGACGTCTTTTGACCAATAGTTTATAAGAAAGCTTTAAACTAATTTAATGTAAATAATATAACCAGATACCATGTATAGCAGTTGACGTCTTTTGGCGAATATGATGATGATGAAAATTCTGTTGTATTTAGCCCATCAACGACTAAACCCCAAATTTCAAAGTAGAGATCTGAAAATTTTAGAGTCGACTATAAAAACAAATAGAAATTCAATTGTATATAGTAAGGTCTCGCAACTTACATTTTCGGTAAAAAGTCAACTCTAGGTACTGGGGTCCACATACCCAGTACCTATGGGCTTGAACAGTTTAGGTTCGATTTAGACAATTTTAGGTCACAAGGTGGCATAATTAAACGCATAATTCACGCGAAGTTTTACCCCGATACAATCATTGTTGCTTGATTTGCATAGTGGAAAGTGAAAGTAATAATTGCATAGAAAGAAAATAATTGCATAGTGGAACAAGAAAGGAAAGAAAGTAATTTGATTTCGCCCATTTTCACATTATAACATAGAAATATAAGAAGAAGCTTTGTGTTCTTGCTCGTAACAGCTCGCTGCTACCCTTTTCAGCATTCCTTTTCACTTTCAAATTCTTTGAATGGTTGCAAGAGCGCTCGGTTTCAAATGAATTCGATCGCAAATTTGAGTTCTGTTATCTATGTACAATAATATGCAAATATGTATGCATAGAATAATAGAAATATTATGACAAATTGTAAATAAGGAGAAAATTAAGATATAGATTATGGAGTAAAAAAATTATGAATTTTTAATACGGAGTAAAGAAATTATGAGTTTTTAATACTTAAAGATTAGGAAATTCCTATTATAAATTTGGCCTTGAAAATATTAATAGCGGATATTCAATACATTCTTGTGAATTAGGGAATTCCTGTCTTTAGTATTTCTTTGAAACTGTTTAGCGGGTAGGTACTTGTATTATGCATATTGTTCTACCATATTCATGGTAATTCATTGCAAGCAAAATGTGTGACCATCATCTCAACATACAAATGAAATACGCAGCACGCAGTGTTGTGCAGTCGAACCACACAAATATTTGTGAAAAGGAATGCAGAAAAACTAGACTCGAGTTGCTGGACTCTTTTTGACCGTGTGAATGCACAGAGCGACACCAAAAGAAAATTTGAAAAAAATGAGACTCGTTTGAGTCCCTGTGTAAAAGTGCACTAACACTATGTAGTACTATGGACAATAACGCCATCTCTTAGATAAAAACCGAACGAACTTTTTGCTTGGTCTAATATTTGATGTTCATTTGCGCTAATATGGATCTAAAAAATATATAGGTATTAATAATTTTCAAATCTACCTGCTTTACCGCTTTGTCTTTATACGTAAGCATTTTTTAACTGTATTGAAAAATTTACGATAATACCTAAATTTTAATGTTGGCCGGGTCTTCTAGTACATTAAATTTTTTAAGCTAGATCAGTGATCCCATCGATTTGTTTTTTGTGAGTGTATGCGTGAGCTAATGAACTATCCGTACTGGTCCCCACCTTCGTCCGCTCAAGTTCAGTATCCTTTAAATCGTTTTTGTATAAAAATAGTGTGTAAAATATATTATAAAGCTTCTGTGCTAATTATGCTAAATATTTTCCACATCAATAAGCGCATGTCCACAGTCGCGCAGAGTTTGGGTAAACGTGCTACACAGGTAAAGATAGCTGTGCAATGCTTAAATTAACCACTTCTTCTTTACTTTGTGAATTTTTGAACTGTTTTTAGATGACACTCAACACTTTCCATTTTGTTAGTGTTTCGTCAAATAACGCAACATTTTGTGTGCCGTCGAGAAGGCTAAGAATGTGCTGTGTCGTTTGCAGCACACCACCTTGCGAAAGGTAACGGCCAACACTGTTATTTATACGCAGAGGACTATCATCTCGGAAGATCAATTAGAGGTAAATATCAACTATGAGGTGAGGATCACGAATTCGTAAATGTCTTATATGAGAAATACGATTTCAACCAAACACGCATTTCGACATAGTTATAAAGGAAATGAATGCTGTGCAGCAGTTCTACGGCTTGTACGTGAACTATCGTTATTTGGCCTTGCTATGTGAGGTAATGACACCTTAATGAATACAAGTAAGTGGAATATATAACTCTTCTAGATGTTAAAAATAATAGAGGCCATTCATCGGAACTATATTAATATGTAATTTTAAATAATTTACTCATAACCGACCATAATAATATATATTATAATTTTAATATAAAAACAAGTAAGGAAGGGCTCAGTTCGGATGTAACCGAAAATTGTATACTCTCGCAAAGTCAAATGGTATACTCCTTTGAGATTTTTTGTGGATTGACCGATATTTTCATAGAAGGTAAAGTATAAGCACTGGGGTCCACATATTTAGTACTTAGGGGCTTGAACAGTTTTGGTTCCATTTAGACAATTTTTTGACACAAGGTGGCACACTTTAAACGGATTATTCACTCACTTCAGTTTTACCCTGATACAATCATTGTTGCTTGATTTGCATACTGGAAAGTGAAAGAATCAAATAGAATTTAAAATGGTGTTATATGAGAAATAGGCGTGGTTGTAATCCGATTTCGCCCATTTTCGCACTATAACATAGAAATATGAGAAGACTGTTATGTGCCGAATTTGGTTGAAATTGGTTCAGCAGATCTCAAGATATGGGTTTTCACCTAAAAGTGGGCTGTGTCACGCCCACTGTCTAATTTTGAACGCGGTTCCTATAAAGTCATCTCATACCATCCCAGAGATACAATTTAATGCCTCTGGCGTGTTTAGTGCTTGATTTATCGCGCTTTTAGTAGTTTAGAGGGCGGACATGAAACCCGACGTCAACTATTTTCACACTGTAGGTAGAGGAGGTTTAGGAGATAGAGGAGAGGTTTAGGAGATATGCACATTAAACCTTTTAGAAGCGGGACCACGCCCACTTAAAAAAAATTACCTGCAGATGCCCCTCCATAATGTGATCCTGTGTACCAAATAACAGTCTTGTATCTTATTGCGGAGCTTAGTTGTGGCAAATTATTTGTTTTTGATTAATGGCATTTGTGGGCGTGGCGGTGGTCCGATTACGCCCATATGCAATACCAACCGTTTCATGGTATAAAGAAACATGTGTTCCAAGTTTCATAAAGATATCTTAATTTTTACTCAAGTTAGAGCTTGCACGGACGGACGGACGGACAGACAGTCACCCGGATTTCAACACGTCTCTTCATCCTGATCATTTATAATTTTATATATATAACCCTATTTCTAACTCGATTAGTCTTAGGTGATACAAACAACTGTTAGGTGAACAAAACGATGCAAGCATTTTGATCGGTTAAATTGTAGAACTTTTGCACATGGTTTTTGTTGTTGTTGTAACGGCAATTTTCGTGACATTTCAGCTATTGGAAGTGAAGTTATTGCGTTTTAAGTGTCAGTATGCTTTTGTCATCGGTGCGAAAATTAACTTCGAACAAAGATCCAACATTAAATTTTGTTTTAAAATTGGTAAAACTTTTATCGAAACGTTTCAATTGATGAAACAAGTTTATGGCGATGACGTTTTCAAAAGTGAAGACAATGCTGATTTGTTTTTATGATTCCAAGGGTATTGTCCACAAAGAATTTGTTCCACCCGGCCAAAACGTTAATGCGGTATTATACCTTGGAGTAAGCGTTTGGTGCGCCGTATTCGACGTGTTCGGCCCGAATATCGCGAAGATGGAAGTGGGCGTTTGTTGCAGGATAATGCGCCGTCTCATCGATCGACGCATGTGGCCTACTATTTGACCAAAAATCACATTTTAACAAACAATCACTCCAAGTATTCACCTGATATGGCACCGTGCGACTTCTGCCTTTTCGGAGAAATGCATTTGCCGATAAAAGGAAAGCGGTATGCAGACGTGGAGGCCATTCAAAATGCTTGCACCGGCATACTGGCGGCCATACCGGCCAACGACTGCTTCGGAACGCACCTTTTATGGTCGAAGGAACAGTCTCATTCCCATACCACTGTTGCCAAATAAACAAATTTCTGGACGTTATAAAGAAGAATTTGTGAAGCATCGACCGTCAAAACCAATACCGTTATCGGAAAGTATTGGGTGAAAGTTGGACTTAATACCATTATCGGACCGTTTGCATATCTACAAAGACACGAAAGTTAGTCTCTGTTTAGTTACATATGCATATATATTTTTATTTCAAAAACCTACTCAACAGTTTTCTGACATTTTCTCAACACA